TAGGTGATGAGTTGTTCTATTTATTTTTTATATATTCTGCTTGGGTTTCTTATAAATAACTCCAGTAGGCATTCATGTGTTTTTCCTCTTTCTGTGTTTCACCGGGTAAGGTGCTAGCACACTTGTGACTGTGACTGGAAGAGGAGAACAGACACTCCTGTGGGGATGCTTTACTCTCTTTTCTGGTAGGAAGGCTGAGTAACATCAAGGGCTCGATTATTTTCTTCGTGTATTTCAAATGCTGTCAGTTACAGCATTAAATTGTGAAAATCAGCCTTCTGGCATTCATATTATTCTGGTATGAACTTTGAGGAGTTGAGTGACATCTTCCCACTTAACTTGCACATTAATTCTCAATTACCCCTACCTAAATAACAGTATCTCACTAGGAGAGAAGAAACAGGGTATATATGGTTTCCACTGTTAATGGATTACTGTTCTTCCCTGGCTCTTCCCACAATAACAAGTTGTTTCTTTAATCATATCTTAAAACTGAAAATGTATAAAAGATTAAATATTTACGTACAATGGGTTGTTCTGCTATAGAATTAAGACGAGGGAATTTCAGATGAGGAAAATACCCTTTTGAAATGTTGGTTTTGTACATGAACTGTTTTCGCAATTCCAAAGATAATTCATGACTCCTTAAATTTGCCTTGGCTTATAGCTTAATATAGGGAAAATATTGCCAGCGTTTTCAGTCATTCTGTGCATGCTGCTTTAAGCAAGAGATTTATATTTGTTGAGAGGAAATATTGCTACTTCCTGCAATTCCACCCTCTGCAGCTAGCACCATCCCTACTGTTGCCATTAATCGGAGCTGTCCTTAAGACGGTCACCATATTTTTATTCAGGCCGTCGTCATTTTCCCCAGAGATAGTTTGTTTAATGAATGATAGGCTCTGTGCCTGGGGATGTTAGCAGACTCTGTGGTTTGCACAGTGATGCCTTCTCCCTGGCCCAGAGCTGAGTATTCACTTACAATTAAAGTTGGATTTGATATAACAAATTTCTTCCTGTACAGGTTTTAGATAAGAGAGAGAGTGCTAATGTCAAGGATAGCATATGTGGAAAGAAATTGGTAGTTGTGCTTTTGAATGTCAGCTGTAGAGCCAACTCTAATTATCTAGCCATTGGTAATACAAATTCATAGAAACATTAGTATAGTCAGTAATTTTAGCTTCTTGCCAAATTTTTCACAACCTAAATGTGATGTGATGAAGATGAGTAGTATGAAGAAACCAAAGTCATCTGGGAGAATTAGGAATGATTACCATTTTTTAAACAACTTACCTCTAATAGGGTTACTTGGATGAGGCAACTCAGCTTCCCTCCATGGATAGGAGGGACTCTCTGTATATTATTCAGGTTTATTGGCATGAAGATACTTGTAAGTTCCTTGAGAATCCATGATGGGCAGTTTACAGAATGCTTAAACCTGTCAAAAGATCAGTGGTTTTGTGTGGGAAAAGATTTCTCAGGTGTCTGTACCAAAAGGAGCAGCAAACAAGGGGCTAATCCATGAGCAGTGTTCTGTAGGCTCTGTGGCATCCTTGGTGTGTAGGACTTTGGAGCCTTTTATATCTGGAACTATTTGAGGGGTTTCATTAGAGTCCTTGGTTCTCTGCAGAGGCCAGATGAGTTTGTTGTGGAATCTTTGAAAGGACAAGGCCTCTGTGAACGAATCAGTTCCAGGGAAACATTTGGTGGTGGTGGTGGCAGTGGAGGACTGCCTTGTGAACCTATAAATCAGCAGTCTCTTGGGCAGAGGAGCAAGCCCCTCGAACATGATTTCGAACAAGCAGGTCCTCTTCTCTCATCTCACGTCCTGTCTCTGTTAATGAACATACTGGATGTGGAGTTTAATAAATTACCTACTACAATCTGGCCACTTCGATGATTATCACACCACTGTGGACTGTTCCCGAGGGGAGAAGAATAGACCCATTTGAAAGATTCAAGGGAGAAAGAGGATCAGGATTGCATGAAAGAGGAAAATCATTCAATATTTAAAATGTTCCTTATGATACCCACAGAGTACTTTTATGGTTCTAGCTGAGCTTTCCTGCAATGAACTGACCATTAACAATGCCTCTTTGGTAGGTTACTCTGATGCTGCTAAAGTAAAAAACCTTAAGTGTGTTTTTGGGACAACGTGCGGCTTATTTCACCTCAGCCAAATATGTGTTTGTGTTTAGGATATTGTAAATCTTTGCTATCTAAGTAGTGTTTTCCTTGGTGAATGAAGTAATTGTCTCCAGGTGTACCATCTGCCTAGCAGAAAAATTGCTACAAACTTTCTCTTATGCAATAGTCCTTGGTACTTCTAATATTTTTAGCAAGAGAAAATTTTCTATACTAGAATCTTCCACTGCCAGAAAACACAGTGCCAGTAAGGTTCTGCATACTACTGATCATCTGCTTAACAGACATGTATTTCCTTTGAGTAGGACATTAGCTTTTTATTATAAAGCTCAACTAATATAAGCAAAAATGTAACATCTAGAAGCACAGTTTTAGCCAGGATGTTTAAAAATTAAAAGTTTCGTGAGGTATAAGGGTCTTTTTAACCTACGTAAGTTTATATGACCTAACTTCATTTTAGCCATATTCTGGTACCTTGCATTTTGAAAAGTAGAGTTTTCTCAAGCAAGGAATGGATAGTAAGAGACTTTTCCTGAGGCATCTGTTTGGAATCTGGTTTTCTCAGCAACAGCTTGAGATACGCGCCCTTTTGTATGAAACACTGCAAAGGTGATGCAGGGAGGCAGGAAAGCCATGCTAAACTCACTACTTTGTACAATTCAGTACGTTCCTGGGGATGTTTGCTGTGACTAATACACATTTCTTGCACAATCAGCTAAACTTCATTATGTTGCTGATAGACAAGCATCCACTTCAGCTGGCACTAAGTGTTTCACTGTAGGATCAGCAGCAGGCTGAATGGTTAGTGGAGACAAATGTCTTAGAGGCTGTGGTGATGTCTGGGTTGGGCTTGTGACTTATTAGTGCCCTAGCCTTCCTGATGGCACCTTTCACTTCGAGAATTTATGCTTTAAAAGCAGAGCTAGTCTATTCTAGTTATTGATGCAACTAAAATTCTGTTTTTCGTCAGATGGAGCCACTGACAAGATGCCACATTCTAGAGCCTGCAAGCCCAACTCGTGATCCTAATGGTCTGAATTGTTAGAGATTTTTAGCTTTTCATTTTATTGCGTATCTGGGTTGGATGTTAGACTAAAAGGAAACCCAGGAATGTTTACCTAATGTTACATTTAATATTTAATATAACTGGCCTAGCAACATTAAGGGGGATTTCTGAAGCCAACTCCAGAGGCTGTGGGCTGAACATTTTGCACTGTTTTTATACTTGTATTCATATCCTCTTATCACTTCAGACTCAGACACAAGGCCTTTTACATGGAAACTTTACAAATTACTGCCATTTATGTAAAATAATGTCCTGTGATCAAGTTGTTTAAATGGAAAATAAAGTGCTTTATTTAAGGAAAATAGCTGGTGTTTCTTGGAGGATCTGCTGAAGTCTTTTGATTTATGAAAACCCTGCATTATACCTGCCTCTTTGGCTCCCTCGATGTCCCTATCCCATGGGTCTGTCCCTAGCTCTAAGCTGTCATGTTCCTGGTGGCGACTTCTCTGGCTTTGTAGGTCAGGGATATTGCTTGTCGGGGTATTATGTTAGCAGTAACATTTCAAAGCATACTTTTGTGATAGTCCAGCAAGAAACAGCATCAAAACTATTTCCATTGTATCTCTTTAGAAGGCTCTGTATTAGGGAGAAAGTCTAGCTGGTCTGATTGGAATATGGGCTGCTAAAGACTCAATTTCTAGTTGATGTTTGAGGTGAGGCAAAAATAAAATAAAGCTAAGATAGAAAACTTAAGCTTTTTGGGATTTATTTAGGCTTCTGGGCATGTTTACTTAAAGAAGTCACCTTTCCTTATGTATAGGCTTGGCATTTAAAGAAAACCGGTGGCTGGGTGGCTCATGCCTGTAATCTCAGCACTTTGGAAGGCTGGGAGGATCACTTGAGTCCAGGAGTTCAAGACCAGCCTGGGTAACATGGTGAAACTCCATTTCTTAAAAAACAAAACAAAACAAACAAAAAAGTTAGCTGGGCATGTAATCCCTGCCATCTGAGAGGCTGAGGTTGGAGGACTGCCTGAGCCTGGGAGGTCCAGGCTTCAGTGAGCCATTATCAGGCCACTGTACTTCCAGACTGAAGTACAGTGACAGAGTGAGACCCTGTCTCAAACAAAATGAAACAAAAACAAAAAACATATATAAGACAAAAAAATAATGAAACTGGTATTTTGTTTCCAGGTGCTAATATCGGCCAATATTTTGTAAATGTACCATATTTAAGTATAAACTGATAGTGATTTTTTTTTTTTTTTTTTGAGACGGAGTTTCGCTCTTGTTACCCAAGCTGGAGTGCAATGGTGCAATCTCGGCTCACCGCAACCTCCGCCTCCTGGGTTCAGGCAATTCTCCTGCCTCAGCCTCCTGAGTAGCTGGGATTACAGGCATACACCACCATGCCCAGCTAATTTTTTGTATTTTTAGTAGAGACGGGGTTTCACCATGTTGACCAGGATGGTCTCGATCTTTTGACCTCGTGATCCACCCGCCTCGGCCTCCCAAAGTGCTGGGATTACAGGCTTGAGCCACCGCGCCCAGCTACTGATAGTGATTTTGATGGAAAGTTATGTGTTATGAATTACTTTTAGTTACATTTTCTTTAGTGGCCGTTAGTCTAGAAAAACAGGTTTGTTGTTGTTGTTGTTGTTTTTTGCATGTGTGACAACTGTATAATCCTAAGGAAAAGCTGTGTGGGAACAGGCATATCATAGAAGAAATGAAGTTCAATTCAAGGTGTTTTGTCATGCCACACATCCTCTATGATAAGAAGATCTAAGTCACGTAGCAGGTGGTGTGGCTAGATAGCCTTTCTAGGAAGTACGAGACAAAAACAATAGTCACTTAAAAAAACCACAGTTTTATTTTGCCGACTCAGATTTTCAGTACACCACTAACAGTAGTCACCTCAGGACTTCTTCTCATTTTACCATATGCATTTATGGACTACTTGAATTTGTTAAACATGTATTTTAAAATGAAAAATTATTTTCCCAGCAGGTAATTCTCTAAGACAATTCATAGAAGAGAGCATTTTATCAGTCTTCAAAGCACCTTAAAGATGAAAACATTCTTTGAATTCAAGGTAGGCATCTCAATATCTAGATCAAACTGAGCTGAGTACTAGAAGACAAATTGAGTATATTATTCAGTTGCAGTTGGGAATGTGAACAGATGATTTAATGAATTGCTGGACTGTTATGATAGATTTATTATCTTTTGGAATTTCCTTCATGCTTATCAAGGTGCACTGAAGAGAAGTATCTCTGGTGCCTCAGTTTCTCTGAAGTCAGGATAAGCTACTATCCTCTGCAGCAGCTGTGTAGATAACCTCTTGATACATGATCTGCCATTGGGGGTGGTTAAAATGGACAAGGTCTGGCAGGGTGCCTGTAGCTGATGCTAATGTACCAGAAGATTGACTACCTTGATCTTTCCTTTTCTAAGTATTCACTACTTTTTATTCATATTTAATTAAGGTCACATTTATCAGCAACTCATCTTGAGCTATATGGACACATTTGTCTTCACAGACTCAGGCAGGCAAACACTTGTCCTTTTTAAAGTTTACTATGCTAAAAATATATAGGATATATTTGAACAGAGGACCTCTAGAATGTTCCTTTGGATGATCCCACTGTGATAAATGCTATAGTGAATGACTAGCAGTCCAGGAAAAGTCAAAGAAGGGGATAAAAATTCTCAAAATAATTCCTTTGATCTAAGAGGTAGCTCAGAGAATAAACCAGGTGTATGTATGTGGGTGGGTGGGTGGAGATTAAGACACACATTACAGACCAGTTGAGGTTCCTGTCCTGAGTATTACACTAATGTGGTTCATTGGTTCACCAAAGACTTGTCTTATTCAAGGACCAAGTATCTGATTGCTGGTACAGCTCAAAGTCACGTCCAGGTGCCTGGAAGTCTGGAAGGATTTCAGCTACCTTCCTACGAAGTTGCTGTCGCCTTTCTTCTTTTACTCTTTCTTCTTCCATAAATTTTACAAACTTCTTCCATGTCTGAAATGTGATCCAGAGGATTCTCCTTTAAAAATAAAAAAGGAGAAAAGTGAAATGCTGAGAAAAAGTTGACTTTCCATCTATAGTGCATTAAGAACTTTATAAAAATAATTCTTATGTTAATAAAATGCTATATAGGGCCGGGCGCGGTGGCTCACGCCTGTAATCCCAGCACTTTGGGAGGCAGAGGCGGGTGGATCACGAGGTCAAGAGATCGAGACCATCCTGGTCAACATGGTGAAACCCTGTCTCTACTAAAAATACAAAAAATTAGCTGGGCATGGTGGTGTGTGCCTGTAATCCTAGCTACTCAGGAGGCCGAGGCAGGAGAATTGCCTGAACCCAGGAGGCGGAGGTTGCAGTGAGCCGAGATCGCGCCATTGCACTCCAGCCTGGGTAACAAGAGCGAAACTCCGTCTCAAAAAAAAAATAAAAAATAAAAAATAAAATGCTATATAAAAGGTGTGGAAATCACAATCGGGATTATGACAGTGTAAAATGCTGTGAAGAAAATAAAGCAACAAAAGGGAGTGAGAGTGACTGATCGGTTATTTTTATTTGTATTTTATTTTATTTATTTATTTTTTGAGGCAAGAGTCTTGCCATGTCGCCCAGGCTAGAGTGCAGTGGTACAATCTCGGCTCACTGCAACCTCCGCCTCCTGGGTTCAAGCAATTCTTGTGCCTCAGCCTCGCAAGTAGCTGGGATTACAGGTGCCTGCCATCATGCCTGGCTAATTTATTTTTATTTTTTTTATTTTTATTGGAGACAGGGTTTCACCATGTTGGCCAGGCTAGTCTTGAACTCCTGGTCTCAAGTGATCTGCCTGCCTTGGCCTCCCAAAGTGCTGGGATTATAGTTGTGAGCCACTACCTGGCCAGTTATTTTTATTTTTGATTGAGTGGTCAAGGAAACTGAGGAGGTGACATTTGAGCAGACCACCCAATGGCCTCCAGTAATGCAAGCTACGAGGCACTCCTGAGTTGGTCTGATTACAGCATACATATTGTGCCAGGACTAGTGTTGCTGGCAAGGGATCCAGAAACCACAACCCTCAAGGCAAAAATGGAAAATTGCATGCAGAATGTGCCAAAGTTACAGGCATTGAGGACTCAGTGCATAGACAGGTTTTAAAAGCCTGCTGGTAACCTGACCTCCAACAGCAGCAGCAACAAAGAACAAGTCTTGAATATCAGTTGAGGAAAAAAAACACCCTAACGTCAGTTTCTGGAAACATGGTATAAGAAAATATATCCTAACGTCAGGTTCTGGAAACATGGTATGGAAGATTGCTTCTTTAAACGAGTGTCTTTGCTGTCACAGGGAAGCATGCAATGGCCTTTTAGGATTTATTAGTGTCTACTACAGCTGAACACTAGGGGCATCAAGGTAAGCCAGGTACTGTTTGCTTCAGGAGAGGCTGAAACAGGTGGCCAGAGTTTCCATAGAGTGGGAAGGTACACCAGTGGAGAGCAGCACAGAGGACTGCCCAGTCTGGTGGTGAGGAGCAGATGTTTTTGAAGATGTCTGGACTGAATTTTTGTCAGGCAAAGAAAAGCCTTTCCTAGAGAAGAGCACATTCTGAGGAAAGGCAAAGAAGCGAGAATAGCATGCCATAGTGTGTGTGTGGAGTTACGATGTTGAAACAAGGTGTAGAGTAGTTAAGCTTATATTTTCACACCTATAGGAGAGATGGGATTTGTTCTGGTCTCTTGACCATCTGAGGAAGTCCCAGAATGCACATAAGTCCTCATTTAATTTTATGGCTGTTGGTTGTTTAATATTTTTGATAATGTTGATTTTTGTTGGTGGAGGTATTGCTTTAAAAAAAAAAAAAGGCATGGCTGGGTGCAGTGTTTCACACCTGTAATCCCAGCATTTTGGGAGGCAGAGTTGGGTGGTTCATTTGAGGTCAGGAGTTCAAAACCAACCTGGCCAACATGTTGAAACCCCATCTCTACTAAAAATATAAAAAATTAGCCCAGTATGGTGGCGGGTGCCTGTAATCCCAGCTATTTGGGAGGTTGAGGCACAAGAATCACTTGAACCTGGGAGGCGGAAGTTGCAGTGAGCTGAGATCAAGCCACGGAACTCTAGTCTGGGTAACAGAGTGAGACTCTGTCTCAAAAAAACAAAAAAAGCTCCAACGAATGGATTTACTTAATTGCTTGCTTTTATCCATTCAGTCCACTGAACATATAAAATTTATCCATTGAAGTCCAAGAGACATTCAAGTTATTCTCTTCCGGCTATTTTGAAATATACAATAGATTATTATTAACTATAGTCACTCTACTGATCTATTGAACGTTACATATTATTTCTTCTAACTATATTGTATCTATTAATGTCTCTACCCTTTCCAGCCTGTGGTAACGACCAATTTACTGTGTTCATGAGATTCACGTTTTTAGCTCTCCCACATGCGTAAGAACATGTAGTATTTGTGTTTCTGTACTTATTTCACTTAACATGGTGACCTTCAGTTTATCCATGTTGTTGCAAATGACAGAATTTAATTATTTTTCATTACTGAGTAATAATTCATTATGTGTATACACATTTTCTTTATGCATTTATCCACTGATGGGTGCTTAGGCTGATTCCATATTTTGGCTATTGTGGACAGTGCCGTAATAAACATGGGCATGCAAGTATCTCTGATATACTGATTTCCTTTCTTTGGAGATGTACCTATTAGTGGAATTGCTGGATCATATGGTAGTTTTAATTTAGTTTTTTCAGGAACCTCCATTCTCTTTTCCATAGTGGCTGTACTAATTTACATTCCCCCCACGTGTATGAGCGTTTCCCTTTCTCCGTATCTTCACTGGTGTAAGGTGATAGCACATTGTGGTTCTGATTTGGATTTCTCTGATAAGTGATGTTGAGCATTTTTTCATATACTTTTTGGCTATTTGTGTGTCTTTTGAGTAATGTCTTCCCCCACCCTTTTTTTTTTGGAGACAGGGCAAAATTCTGCCCAGGCTAGACTGTAGTGATGTGATGTTGGCTTACTTCTACCTTTGCCTTTACACCTCAGCCTCCCAAGTAGCTGGGACTACAGGCGCATGTCAGGACTCCTCGCTAATTTTTTTTTGTTGTTTTTTGGTAGAGATGGGGTTTTGCCATGTTGCCCAGGCTGGTCTTGAACTCCTTGACTCAGGAAGGTCACCAACCTTGGCCTCACAAAGTGCTGGGATCATAGCCGTGAGCCACTATAATAATGGTACTTATTTTAAAATCAGATTTTTTTTTGCTATTGAGTTCCTTACATATTCTGATTATTAATCCGTTGTCAGATGGCATTTTAGTCCATGTGTTGGTATCGAGGAATACCTGAGGCTGGGTAATTTATTTAAAAAAAGGTTTATTTGGCTTGCACTTTTGCAGGCTGTACAAGTAGCATGCCACTAGCATTTGTTTCTAGTGAGGACTTCAGGCTGTCTCCATTCATGGTGGAAGGAGAAGGGAAGCTATCATATGTGGAGATCACCTGGCAAGAGAGAAAAGCAAAGAAAGAGGGGGAGGGAGGTCCCATGCTCTTTTTTTTTTTTTTTTAAACAACCAGCTCTTAGAGGAACTAATAGAGTGAGAATGCACTCATTTACAGAGGATGGCATTAAGCCATTCGTTGAGTAATCTATCTCCATGAGCCAAATATCTCTCATGAGACTCCACTTCCATCCAACATTGAGAATCAGATTTCAACATGAGGTGTAGGGGACAAACATCCAGCTATACCGTTTACAAATACTCTCTCCCATTCTGTGGGTTATCTCTTCACTTGATTGTTACCTTTGCTGTGCAGAAGCTTTTCAGCTTAATGTCATCCCAGCTGTCTATTTTTGCTTTGGTTACCTGTGCTTTTGAGATCTTACACAAAAAGTCTTTGCCTAGACCAATGGCCTGGAGCATTTTATCAGTGTTTTCTAGTAGTAGTTTCTGGACTTAGATTTTAAATCTGTAATCCATTTGAATTTGATTTTTGTGTATGGTGAGGGAAAGGGGTCTCGTTTCATTCTTCTGTATATAGTTATCCTGTTTTTCCAGTACCATTTATTGAAAGACCGTCCTTTCCCTATTTTATCTTTGCCAAAAGTGTTCTTGGCACTTTTGTCAAAGATGAGTTCGTTGTAAATGTGTGGATTTAAATCTGGGTTCTCTATTACATTTTTTTTTGTTTTTTTAAAGATGGGGTTTCACCATGTTGGTCAGGCTGGTCTTGAACTCCCGACCTCAGGTGATCTGCCTGCCTTGGCCTCCAAATATTCGATTTCATTGTCTGTTTTTATGCCAGCAACAAGCTGTTTTGGTTATTATAGCTTTGTAGTAATTTTTTTTAAGGTAGTCATTTAATTAGGTTCTTAAGACATTGAGAACACCAATTTGTGATGATAAATTCCATTAGTCAGGGCAGACACATCACAGGTAGCCTTGGAGCTGAGAAATAGCTTTGATTTTTGGTAAAATTTGTGAGTTCACAGCTGTCTGATCAATCTTGCGCTGCTCTGTAATCTCGTATTTCTCTTTCCATGTGTTGAATATCTCACCTTTCTGTAAGCTGTTTTGGGATTTTTACATTGCTGATATAAATTTTGGTTGAGGTAGCAATGACAAATTTCCGGTGTGCTCTTTGTAGAGGAACTCGATTGAGGACCAGAGGTCCAGTCACAAGTAACAAGCCACTAGCCAGCTGCTTCAGGAAAACCACCCTCTTGCCCCTTTGGCATCCAGCGAGAATGATCAGAATGGTCCCAGGGGTAATACTGGCTTGCAGTTTGTGTCACGTGCTGACTGAAGGTTTTTTTGGCCACGGCTCAACAGCTTTGGAGGCACATCTTCAGTAAGATAATATCTAGGCATTTTGCGAAGTTTAACCACCCGGGTACTGCCGTTCTTGTCACCACCAACTGGTTTTGTGATGGTTCCAAGACCCTTCTCCTTTTTCTTTCAACTTTGGATTTAGCGGCTGAGTACTTCCTCTTGTAAATGGCCTTTCTGGAATACATGGCAGATTGGGAA